CATTTCCCCAGCACCTTTGAAAAGAAAACAAAAGAAAGAAGTAGGGAGAGAATTACTATGCTTGCTCCTCTCCAGTTCTCCAAGCTTTCCTCCTGTCCTCCCAGGGTTCTCACAAAGATACTGTAAAGATTCAAACTAAAGGGTCCCTAAAGGGTGACTAAAAGGAGAAGGATAATGCTGACTTTTTGGTTTAGTAATTTGAGCACAGTAAGCTATTAACATCAATGAAGAACCAAGGTAAGTTAATCAAAAAGGAGCTTTAAGGGCATGCTGAGGTCTTTGGAGAGGACAGAGGAGGGTAATGAGATTGGACTTTACCCAGTGCTATCCCAGCCATCTAGATAGAAAAATTTCACTAGTTTGCTGCTCAAGGGGATATCAGGGGTCAAATGTCTTCAAAAATTCAAGTACAGTGGGGGAAAAACCCAGGCAAGCTGCTAGCCTTCCTGTTGATCTCGAGCAGCATGCTGCTCGAGGGGCAACAAGCAGGCTGGCTGGACAGAGGTGCAGCAGCAGACGCGCGAGCTGCTCACACAGGCCCCCGGGCTGGGTGCAGGAAGCGGGGCCCGCGGGTGCTGTGCGGGAAGCCAGCACCTCTCAAGCCTTCCACTCTGCCACTCTCCTGCCCGCTCCAGCAAGAGGCTCTTGTGCTCCTGGAAACCCCATTAGCTCCACAGTTCAGTCAGAACTGCCGTTTTCCTGACACATTCACCTAAAATATAAGCATCTGTGGCAGCCTGTAGTTAAGAAATTCTCCAAGAGACTGTCAAGGGCAAGAGACATAAAAGGCAGCCCCACAGCTTGCTAGGAAATAGAGAAAGCAGCAGGAATAGCAAGAAGGTATTTTTGTGTGTGTATCTGCCTTGAGGTAAATGGAAAGGGCAGGTTACCTAGCAGGCAGGCTGAGCACTGGATAGAGCACGTGAAGACGGCATCACTCCACTAACAGGTACCGCCAGGCACTGCTCAGCCAAGCACTCTGCCAGAGCTGCTAGTAACTACCCTACGGGGTAAGAGCGCTGACTTAAATACCCGTCACGCTAACAGACCAGGCCTTCAGGGCACACAAAAAAAAGATCAAAAGGTGCTTCTTTCTCTCGCTTTTTTTTTTTTTTTTTTTTTTTAATAGAAGAAAAAAAATAAAGAGAAAGAAAACCAAATGCAGAAGGCAGAGGTCAAAAAGTCAAGAAGTACTTTTCCAGTTGACTCAGCACAGACAGTTAGCAGCATTTCTGCACTCTGGTTCATTTATCCATCAATACTAGTCACCACAACAGATGCTGAGTTAGGTTAACAGAAGCACAGTAGCTTCAAACCCACATACAGCCCAGAGAGTACACCTGTAGAGACATTTAGTTTACTAACACCTATTCTGTACTAAAATATCCATGCTTATTCTTTTAGCTCCATCCACATAGGGCCTCCAAATTTCTTTCTGCGCAGTAATTACTGCATGGTTCCAGTCTGTCATGCTCTAAGCATACATGAGACTCAAGCAAGTCCCACATCTTCTGTACGCTGGCAGTATACAGTGATTATCTTACTATTGGAACTGACCACTAGTATGCTGGAAATAAACGCAATAACACAAAAAGACCAGGGAAGGCAAAAGGCAAAAGAAAAAAAAAAACATCCACCTTTCATCTTTTAAACTGAGTTTTGGAAATTATTTTTAAGAGTCTTTACCTGGGACTGTTTCCCAATTAATAAATTGCAGTTCAACAGAGAACTCCCTGAAATCATCCCTGCCTTTACCATGACATCCTGGAGTCATTCAGAAACATAGCTGGCAAGGGCTGTTGATCCATTGGCAAAGATCAAGACAGCAGAAGTCCTTTCATTAGGATTCAGATCAAAACTTTTCTGAACAGGATCATGTTGTAACACCTATATTGGCCCTCAGATGATTTATACTGGGACAAGATCTAAAGAACTGGAGACAAGTCTCTCATCAACTTCAGCAGTCTTTTCCTCTACGTGTTCCAATCAACAGTAGTGTTATTTCCCTCTCCTGTTTAATACTAGAATCATTTAGCTCAAGACAAAAACTCATTTATCCTGGCTGAATATAGATAACTGTTTTTAATAAGATTTTGCCAGACCAACTCTATTTTCATAGGTATGCTTAACGTGGAGGTTAACATGTTTTTCATTTTTTTTTTCATGTTATGAGTTTACTTAATCTGTAACATAATTACAAAGCACAAATTTCTGAATCACACATCTTACCTTATCAATTCATCATATTAATTATATTTTTTGGATGTTGATTTTGAATAGTGGTAGGTTGAGTACATTGGAACAGTACCATAAGTTGTTTCATCTAAGTCAAAGGATGCTATATGCATACACATGCAGGGTATCTATTACATCTTTAAAAAAAAAAAAAAAAAAAAAAAAAACAAATGCTGATAGCGTCCCTCAGAAAAATAACCTCTCCTTCTTCAAAAAGGAGAAAGGAATCTACATTTGATGATTTCACAATACAGATTGGGACCACATGTTTCACTGGGAAGAGTTTTTTTCAATTCTTGTTTTTCTTCCCTCTAAGTACTAGACCAAGCTCTATTATGCACAAATTCTAAAAGCACAAGCCAGCCAAAAGTCGCAAATCTCTCAGCATAGACAGGTCCATCTGTCATTCACAGCAGGAGAACAATAGCAGCGTCAATATAGACACAACAAGCACACACAGTCCTTATAGAGTCAGACAGAAAATCTGCCTTCCCTGATAACTAGCTGCCTTTGAAAACCCAGACAGATGTTCCTGCGTAATACCGGGATCAGTTTCTTCTTTCTTGTTCCTGCATTTTCAAATTTCTCTTCTGTTCACATCAACCAAAATATTGTTAGTTTACTGCTCATAATCTTTGCAGAGGTTTGTGAAAACAAGATCTCAGGAGCAATGCAACTCAAAACACAGAAGTACTACACTATTTTTAAATCTGACATTTCTACTATTGGGGCCTCTGTAAAAAGTGGATGATTCACCAAGCTTGACAAAGAGTCTCCTTGTATTCCTGCAGTTTTCTAGAGCTATGCTCAGCAGCCTATCTTTTTCCTCTGTTTAACAGATGACATATTACATTGCTTCTCCACTACTGAAAAGCAGTTTTGACTCCCTCCCCTCAATAATTTATTCAGCAATCTATCTGTACATCTCCAGAATATAAGTTGTAGTCAGGAACTTAATTTTATTGTTCTGTACCACATATTTGCAAACACTCTAACTTAAATCTTTAAATGGCTGAACAGAATAATTGGCTAAGCATTTGGTGGGAGTTAAGTCATTAAAGAAAGAGCCTTACTGATAACACTCGAGCAATTTACATATTTAAAAATAATCTCACTAAGCCCATCTGTAAACCCTTTCTTTCAGTAGTATCTGTTTATTTTTTCTTGTCAGTCAGTTTCATGGAGTTTTGATCACGGCAGATTTGCAAGTCTGGCTCTCTAACAGTTCCCACACTTCTTAGGAGTAAACAAGTGGCGCTTTTTAAACAAGAGGATAGTGCTGGTGTCATGTGCCCTACTGTAAGATTTTCTTCATTCAGATTAAGCCTGTAAAACAAATCTGACTGCTAACATCTGAGGAAACACTACAATTGTACAGGCTAGAGTGACTTGACAAGTCACCTGGGATTTACAACCCCAAAATAAGCAAAAATATATAAAGTTATATATATATAAGCAAAAATATATAAAAAGTTATATATATATAAGCAAAAAAATATATAAAGTTATATATAAAATATAACTCCTCAGGATGCAAGCTAACACACTACCCTGCAACCTATCACCAGTTTTTGTTCAAAAATGTTACCACATGCACTTCTTTTCTAGGAGGAAAAAAATGGAGGCCTGTGACAGTCCTGGAAATGAAAGAAAACAAGGAAGTTTGGACAAAAAGCAAGAGGAATGCTTTTATAAGTAGTATAGGCAGCAAACTAAGAGATTTTCAAAAGACAAAGATAGAAAAGAGATATGTGTAGTTTATTAATAGAGAGTATACTTTATACAACCTTAAGCTTTAATTTCAACCTTAAGGTTTTAATTTCTCCCAAATCTTTTTGAAAAATTTCCAAGCCCTGAACATAAAATTCTTCTTACTAGAGCCATCTCCTTTTTTGAAACAACAAAGCAAACTCGTTTTCTTTTGACATTCCACAATGATTTATTCAGTTCCACTTAACCAGCAAAGACAATTGATGAACTGCTGACCCATTAAAGTTTGCTGATTGGGGACGTTATACAGAATTTGATGATTAAAGAGTATCTCAAGCCCTGAACATATCTGAGAGCAGAGTGAGAGAAAAAAAAGGCAAGAAAAACACTTGCAGGGGCGCTTTGTGTTTTCAGTTGGTTTTGGGTGGCAGGGGCTGTTTGCTTTAGCATTGTGTGGAAGGTGCCTGGGTTGGTGTAGCCCAGGCTGAGGTGAAGCAAGAATCCAGCTGGGGAAGTGTAAAGGCAACAGCAAATCCAATCCTCGCCAATCCAATGAATATGCTTGTTCGATTTCCTTGCAACTCACTGCTTTATGGAGCTCCTACCATGCAGCTCTACATTATCCAATAAAAGGTACTTTCCTAAACAGTCAGTTACATTAAATGTACTTGATTTCTCTTTCATGAAAGCGGAGTGTGTTCTACCTACTAACAAATTCCAGCTTCAGGAGATGAATTTCTACCTCTGTTTAAAGTGATACATTTATATCAAAGCCAAGATAAGTCTATGCAACTTAGACTTCAAAGAAATCACGTTAATCACATAAATCTTCCTTTTTCTTTACATAAAGCTCCACACATGCACTAGAATGGGACAAGTGTCTTCAGGATGCAGAGGAGAGAAAGCAAAACTAGCCTGCACATGCCAATATACAAAACAAGAGAAACTCCCCATTTCTCCCTCTCCCCAGTTTGTGTTATATCAGTAACTTCTACCATAAATATGAAATAAAGATTTAATGAGAAGCACATAACACTGAGGTAGCATTTTCATACCTTCGCTGAAAACTCCAGCGCTCTGCATGCTTGAATTCTGTCTCACAAGGGTTGCTTCATCTTCCCTCACAGTTGGGCAAAAAGCACATGGCGAGTTTAAAAAGAAACGGGAAACTCTGCTTTATCTAGCGCAGGGCTACCTCAGGGCAAGATGGCCATGGCCGCAGCATCATGGCAAGCAGGAGCACACAGGGCAGAGCTCACCTGCTGCTCATACTGGAAGGAGCCGCACAGAGCTCGGACACTCCTTTCTTAGCTCGTAAATGGTGGCGCCCTGCTAACGCTGTTCACCTGCCACAAAGATGACCCCAAACAAAAGTTACTCTCTGCAGTCACTGGGTACACAGGTGAAAGATTTCCGTGGTAGATGAGACCACTGAAGGGAGATACCTGCTGTCATTGGATGTGTAACTCTTGCTGGCTGAATACATCTCTGCAAAGCAGCAAATGTTTTGCTAGGTCTCAGTTTGTTTACATAGTATCACTTGCTCTTCACTGCAGACAACTACATCTTCTCCTAATTTTTTTTACGGTATATCCTTGTACCTGGAAATGCAGATTTTACGATATCCAGTGCCACATTTGTGTTATTTCTCAATCCAGAATACTACCGCCTGCTACAGAGTACTACTGCTCCTTTTTTGCATAAAACCCTACTTAGATTTCCAAGAACAGACCGGTGTGTTTTCTTCTTTCCAAAACTAATATTTTTGCTACTGTAATTCTGGAAAGAGAGACACCCTGGGGAATCCCAAGTAGAATCAACGGCCAGCAACGAAAGTTGTGAAAACAAAATGGCCGCCTCCCATCTGCAAAGCGTGGCTGCTGCAGGCCGCGACAGGGACAAGGCTTTGAAGAGCCATCTCCACAGAAAGAATTTATTTAGATGTCTCAGACAGGCAGTGTCCTGCTGTGCTCATCCCCAATTATGTGGAAGTGGAAATAAGATGGGGAGCAGATTGTAACACTTTGATCTGGAGCAGAGAATGGATGGTTTCATGATTTCAGTCATGTCATGGCCTTTACAAGCAGCCAAGACCGAAATCTGTTCCTAAAACACTCATGTTGACTTAATAGTCTCCTATGTCCACTGATCTTCTTTGATCAAAATGATGAGTAGCCCTTTTGCACCCAAAATAAAGGATCTGGTAGAAGAAAAGGGGCTGCAAAGGGGTAGAAGAAAAAGGGCTTGTGGTTTCAGGAGCAGTCTAACCAGTTTGAAGGTTTCTTGCCATCCAAAAGGGAACAGCCCCCTTGGCTGCTTTTTCCTCACCCTCCTTCCCCTTACTTATCCCATCCTGTCTCCTTGCATGACTCCAGCACTTAACAGAGCCTGCTACAATACACTACATTTAAAAGGCTGGATATTTTTCTTCAGAGTTAGGATGAGAGGACAGGGAACAGGAGAGGGTTAATAGTAAGTAGCCCATGCCAGGGTGCAATACAGCCAGCAACCAACATGGCAGTACAAACACTGCTCGGAGCAGAGAAAGGGAAGTGGGACTGTCCCCATTGGAGCAGCGAGATGTGCTGGGTCTCCAGGCCCTACAAAGGCGGCAGCTCTCAGGACTGCAGTTCTTCAAAAAGTTCCTTCAGCTAGGCGATTGCAAGAACATCTCTAATTTGTCTCACTTGTGATTTTTTTTTCTTGCATCATTTGACAAAACTCAGACCCAAACATTGATTTTTTTTTTTTCTGACAACTGCAGACATCTCTGCTTACCATCAGGGTTGCAGGAGTGAATAAATACATAGACTTTCTGCAAAAAATGGCTGTAACAGAACATAAACAGAAACTCCTTCAGATTATGAAGAGATCAACCTAAAAATGTTATTAGCCTATTTGCAGGCTTTTTAAAATTACTTAGAAGTACGACAAAATAAACAAAACCACACTTTCTTATGGAGTAACACAAAAACAATTAAGTTTGTAGCACATTACCCAGTTTAAGGGCATTCTAGTTTAATGAACTAGAGATATACTAGCATTGTATGTCCTTCTAATTATTATAACAAAGATGCATTCACAGTATGTTGTGACACATCCAACAAATGGATGCTTACAAACGTGTGCCTAAAATTATTACTACATTATTTCTCACCTGCATATTGCTAATGGAGGAGAAAGCCAAGATAATGTCAGGCTAAATTTAATACCCATGTTTCAATATTGCATGGGTGGCTACCCTCCAATATTAAATTCTTTCCTTTAAAAAAAAAAAAAATCAAGACCTCCCCATTATGGACTAAAACCCTTTATCTCTGTAATTGGTAAGTTTTGACACTAAAGGAATTTCCAATCTAGATAAAGAATTTTTTCTTAAGAAAAAACTTCAGATTTCATTTGCTTCCTTCTCTGCAAGCAAAAGCATTCACAGTCTCTTTCGTTACAATGGCAGATTTTAATAAAATAAATAAAAAGCCTTTCTTAAAAGCCTTTCTTAATTATTAGAAATTTACCAAGAGATGGCAATATGAATACAATAGTTTTCCTCTCAGATGATACAATAAGCCAGTTTCCTGTAATTGTGGGGAAGAAATGCATGATGCCATATTGCACAAAAGCAGAACAACAGGTAAATAACAAAAATAGTATTTTGTTTTCTAGCAGTCTAACAGTACACGTGCCATGACAGAATTACTGGCCACAAGTCAAGGAGTAGCCCAACAGCGTCCTATTAATTACTTAAAGCTTTACAGAATTTCCCTCTGTCGGATTTCCCACCTGATGAGGAACCTTTTACTTGAGAGGGTCACAAAATACTCTTTAGTTGGGCGCCTTTGAGATGATGATCATCACAAAAAAAAAAACCAAAGCAAAAAGGAAGGTCATCAGGGAAAGGCTATCTCGTGTGCTTTTATGAGTCCCACTTTTTTGTTCCTACCCACCTAAAGCAAAACTTAGGTTCCCAGAAAAACATATCTCCCTGTTTTCTGGATACAACTAGCTGTCATCTCACAAAAAAAGAAAAACCTCCTCCTTTTGCTGAACAGATGTCAAATTAGCCTCATCTTTTTCCTTCTAGCTTTCCTTGTCATGTCAAACTCCTCTTACAGGTGTTGCAGAGAGCATATGATGGGACTCATAATTTTAATTAAGCCTCATGGGGCCAGCATATTGCTTACAAACCAAAAGCAGTGAAACTCAGTTAATACAGTAGAAATCCAAATATTCTCCAAGTTAGCTGAGATTTTAAACCCATCCACAAAGGTCCAGGTCCTAATTCAAGTTAATTCACAGCAAAACCATTCATATTTCTGGGTCTCTATCTATATCTCTAAAAAGAAAAGCTTCTTGGACCTTTAATAATTCTATCAGTAATTTATATGTGAAATAAAACTAGATTCCACCGTGTTTCACAAAAAGTTCTCTTAAAAAAAAAGATTTCACACAATAAATATTAGCCCTTTACAGCAAATGTAACATAAATGATCAAACTCTAACAACTCCCTCTGCTCCACAGGGCCAGATAAAATCACTCTATTGCTTCTTAATTGGCAAAATATTTAACCAGTCTGAATAATCACTTAAAGAGAACTTAAACTGTTGATTCCATATGTTTAAACATTAACATTTTCAGTCTGCAAGATGTATAAGCCAGTTAGCCTTAAAGAAAAGGACACACACAAACCCTCCAGAAAACAACACCCTCCCCAAACCTATTTGCAGCCTATTTTCTTTGATGTAGACCTAGGCACTAGCAAATAGCAGAGTTTACCAGTGGAGTAATTTTGTTAAGGCTTATTTTAATTATCAACTAGGAACCTGGCGCTCTGAACGCTATTTGTGACTCTTTATGATCCAAGTAACTACTTTAAACTGATTTTCTTAATTAAAGTCTTTGCAATCTCTCCTAACAAAAAAATCCTGAAATATTTACCCAGTGAAACATTTAAACTCAATCTTAACTTCTCAAGCAGCACAAGCTCTTCTTACGTTTCCTCAGGATATTTCTTCAGGACAATCTTTGCAAAAAAAATCACGTATATTAGTGCAGTTCCAAGTAAACAGTCTTAAGCAGTCTGCAAAAGCAAGAGTTATACCAGACAACAGATCCTTTTTACCTTAAACTAGCATTATTCAGGCAAACCAAGATTACTCTCCTTCGATGCATGAAAAAAGCCATTGGCTTTTTGGAACAGGCTGCCCAGGGAGGTTGTGGAGTCTCCTTCTCTGGAGGTCTTCAAAACCCGCCTGGATGCCACCCTGTGCCACATGCTCTAGGTGTTCCTGCTCGAGCGGCAAGGTTGGACTAGATGATCTCTTAGAGGTCCCTTCCAACCTTGAATATTCTGTGATTCTGTGAAAATTATCAAACTGTGCTGGTAATTGGGTATGTAAAGTGAACATCACCTTGCCCATGGTGGCACTAAGAGTTACCCCTGGGAGGAAGCGACCAAGTGGTGCCCTGAGCGAGACACCTGCCCGCCCAGGCGGGCTGCGCTTCAGGGAGCTGCTCCACAGCTGCACCCTCTGCTTGTGCACACACAGCAGCCACTAACTCTGCTAACTTGGATCAGGTGCCTGATTTTTAGGCTCCGTGGTTTTTGGGATTTTAATGGCGTTTGTACAAAGAGTTGCTTGGAAATTGTACCAGTGATTTTATGACTTAATTTACTCGTATATCAATCTCCAGCGTGATTTTGAAGTATGCTATTTAAAAGCCAATTTACAGAAGAAATATGAGTTGAGGGGGAGAAGGATTCTGTTTCCTTTTACATGTATATGTCATTTTAATTATCATCTTGTGGAGAGATCAGTTTATTGCTAAAAAGAAGTGACTCCCTTTCTTACTGGGTAAAATCTTAAACATTCAGATGGAAAATCTCAAAGGAAACTAAAACCAGGCGTTGTTTGATATTTCCATATTTCCAGGATTTTTATTTTGCCTTGCTATTTTGAAGCTAATATATTTGCAAAATAATGGTAATCCTGCATTACTCAGGCATGAATTTCTTTTTTTAACATCTGAAATCTGTTATGCCAGGAAATAAAGCTATGTACTGTGTACTAGTACTGCACTATCTATTTTTTAAGCAAAAGCAAATGAACTGAATGGATCTCCAGAAGTTTAAATTTAGATCAATACATTATAGAGGCTTTATTACACAGCATAACTCACATAACTCAGTACACAGGATTTTCTCCATCAAAGCACTCCATCAGATCGGGTTTTGTTTCTATTT